ACTTGCATTTTCAATCAGCTAACAAAGACTAATCCTAATCCCTTTGAATTTTACATGGGAATTGAATTGACTATATCGCCTTAATTCTGTGATACAATTTTAAAATTCACTTTCGCATATATTAAAGCTCTTGAGAAAGTATGACAAAAGTAAACTGTCAAAGTTTCGCGAAGAAATTTGTACTTTTTTGCACTCCCCTTTTCAAAGTAAATAAACAATTTTTTTAAATTTTCCTTTATTAAAACATACAGGGTGTCCCACGAAGCATAGTTTAAAATGTCTTCTTCCATAATTTGTTAAGTTGTTTAATACCAAAGACAATAATAAAATATTATATAGGAGTCATATTATAGTATATTTAACTTCAAAGTAAAATATATTTGAGCAAAAGATTTTTTAAACGAAATAAACTGCGAACAGCCTTTTATTTCTAATACAGTATAAGGAAGACGACATTTAAAATTATTTACTAACTGTCATGTTTTGTAGGACACCCTGTATATTTAAGCACCTTTTATTCATAAACTTTTTTATCTTGTTTTACATAAGCTTTTTCTAAACAACTGCATTTTTTAATAAAAACGAAAAATTTACAAAATAATTTTTTTTGATATAAACATGTAAATACGGGGTGGTGAACTAGTGATAGCACTACTTATAAATCTTGAGGCGTCAGTGCTTCAAAATAATTTGAAATCTCATTCTTTTCGGGCATTGAGCTAGAAGAGGTAGGCCAGCCACAATGATTTTCGTCCGACCCATATTCTTCTCGTTTTTCTCGATCCGGGCCACCTCAAAAACTTTTGCCCCTTCGCTTTAAATGGGTTTAAAGTGCCCAATCCTTATGATTAAAGATAAATCCAATAAGAAGAAAAAATATGAGGTTATAAAATCTCGAATTATTAGTTTACTATGTGTAAAAGTAAAAAGATTGTTGTCGTGACTGAATCTTTGAAATGTCGTCGTCGAAAATTTACCCTCTTCACGTCTCAAAAGAGAAAGATGAAAATTTCCCTGTATGATAATTGTAGGAATGCAGTATGGTTTTTGGTTTATTATATTGACGTAATAAGCATAGGGGTGTCAGAAGTATTTTTTTGCTTTTTTTTCAAAACGTCCCATGAATATACGGCTGGGCACCACATTCCCACTTTTTAAAATCGTTCTGTTCCTTTCTAGAACGATCATGAGGGCCTTCAGCTAGATTGTTCGGTTCCGTTATTGGTGTTCTTAGTTAAGAACGTTTCCATCCCCCGTTCCTTGAAAAGGGGATTGTACAATTTGTAGATTTAAAAAAATAATCAATATTTCAATGATATTAAAAAGATATATAAATGAACAAGCTGAAGAGTCCAGCGTTGCCCGTGGGGAAAAAAAATTTGAAAAAAATTTAGCCTTTGTCACCCCCAGGCTACCCATGAGTGTCCACAAAAAATTTCAGCCCATTCGGTCTAGCCGTTTGGCCGGCCAGAGGGAACATTTATTGTTTTTTTTTATGCAGACTATTGAAAACTTTTTCTTTCAACCTAAATATCCCCTCCCTCACGGGAGAGGGAGGCCGGGGAAAGATGGGGCGTACATCTTTACAGTCTTTTACCCTTTTCATAAAATAAACTCTAGCAGACATAATAATATTATGGCTTTTGAAATTAGGTATTACAATGCTAATTCATAGCAAAGCCGATATCGAATTCGTCACTGAATTCCCATGTTTTTTGGGACAACCTGTACATAAAGAATATGTGAATTTTTTTCAGAATTCTTTCTAAATCTTTTAGCTATTGAGAGATGTCTATTTTTTAAAGTATTTTATTTTAGTCTAAGCTTTAGTTTTAAGAAGTATAAAATAGTTACAAAACTACATTTTCTATTTTTAACTTTGACTATGCTTAATCTAGATTAAAACGGAAAGATGTACAAATATATAAGAATTTAAAAATTTAAGGAAAATTTTTGTCGAAAATTCATTGTGCTGATTTTTTTCATCAAGAATATAATGTAAAATAACTGCATGACTGGGTTGGCTTTAAGACCTAGTAGCTCCTCTAGTTTTGATTTTACGTAATAGTGTGAGAATACCATATTTTCGGGTTACATTTACAAACCATAAATAAATAAAATGTAGTTCTTTAAAAAAACTCCTAAAAAGAGTTTTTTTCGATTTAAAAGATTTCATCCTACTGTAAAATTTACTTTATTTTGACACAGTTTCCATATTTAGTTTGAGCCTCAATATAACTGTAAATGGACTCTGTAACTACTAACTAGATATATAGCGTCAATGTTGTTTATGTTCTATTATTATTCTTTGGCTGGTCCAGTAATATAAAATGTCAAGGAAGGAAGCATCTAGAAAATATGCATTGTATGCTTCAACAAACATCTAGTATTCATGGAATATACAAAATAATGAATAGATTATACATTTGTCCAAACAAATGAAACAAAAATCATTTTTGATTTTTATATATTCATATTTTTATGTCTCAATATTATATTTCAGATGATTTTGTTTTGTAAAAAATAAAAATTTTTGATGACTGTAACTTTTTTGGCGAAAGTGTTTAAAAAATCTCAAATATATCATAGCTTTTTTTATTTGATCTACAGATCTAAGATTTACATATTTTTAAGACCCTTCATAAAAGGATGGTATTACAAAAGTGGCATGAATATACATGTAAACTTGAACATAAATGTAATTTTTTTTAATCCTGATTGTTATTTTTTCGCGCGAGAGCGTGAATTTTTAGTTTCACAGTTTCTCACAAATCTGTGCAGGAGATTTTTCACCTTTTGCGAATGTTTGACCATTAAAAAACAAAGAATTCAAAAGACATTTTGTCCAATATTAAAAATTGTATCGCACCTTAAAAATTGACAAAGTTTTATAACAATTTTTCTAAATGGTTTAAACCAAGGCTGAAAATGGCGGGAAAAAATGTTTAACCCTATCACAATTGAATTATTTTTGTTTAATATAGATGGGGGTGGGGGTGTTTCCCCCCCCCCTATGAGTTTGCCCTTAGAGTTGAGATAGGGAAGTTTGATTCATGTCCCTAGTCAAACTATTCAAGGGCTGCTCATTAAAAAAATAGACCCCTAACTTTGAAGGTTTGGGTGTAAGGGAGGATTTTTAAAAAGTTCAAAAAGTATGTCGAAAAAATTTTTATAATAATTTTGTTTACTTTTGACAAATATTAACATATGACACATGTTTTTAAACCCATTTTCATTGTCTTTTCAAATATGTAAGTAAGCACAGTAGCTTAATTAATAAATAAATTATTAACCATTTCTGATTTTTTTGAAACACCGACCCACCGTTTGACCGTTCTCCACCCTATGAATAAAAACAAAAATTGTTTGCAAATTTGTTCACAACTATGATGTTGAAAAAGTGAAAAAGTTTGGCGTTCTAATGTAATCCATTTTTTAATTATTCAGAAAAAACCACAAGAAGGCGTAGTTAAAAACCCCCCCCCCCCCCAAATCGTGTAAGGGTAAAAAAGCTTGACCTTTTTGGATAATTATTCTAAAATGTTAAAGTTTTGTTTGAACCTTAAAATTTGATTTTTTACTGTTTAAATCAACATTGAAAACCGCAGTTTTTTAACCCATTTGTGCATGTTTTGTGCTAAAAGTGAACAAAAATCAAAAATATTAATTCGGACTTCTTTAATTTAATCATCTGTTTAATATCCTTAAAGGGAGTGTTCGCTAAAAATGAAAGGCGATGTAGGCATAATGGCGAAACATAATCGCTATTGATCGCTTCTAATCCTTCTTCTATCTGTTGCGTCTAAAAGGAGAAAATTGTTAAAACGACTTATACTGAAGAACGTAGCGTCCAAATAAATTCAGAAAGTTGCAATATACGACTCGGATCGTAAAATAATCAATTTAATTTCAAACAAATCATTCACATATTTGAAACTAAAGCCATCGATTATTTTTCGACGCATTCGTATTAATAATTCATAATATTTGATATTTGTTTAATACACAATGCACTTTAAACGACTTTTTTTGCGCTTGGTGTCTCTGCAACGTGTAATCACTCAAGGCATCAAGAGCAGAGACATCTGGCGGCCAATTATTTTGGCGTTTTATATATTATATACACAACGAATAAAAATATTATGAAATATTAACTATATATGAATGCGTCGAAAAATAATCGATGATTATGGGTTGTAATATCTAAATGATTTGTTTGAAATTAAATTTATTTTATTACGATCCGAGTCGTATATTGCAACTTTCTGAACTTGTATGGACGCTACGTCAAAACTCAAAAGCGATTATTTTTCGACGTAAGCCTGTACCCCATTCCATTTTTTCGCAAAAACTCCCTTTAAGGATCTTCTGTTGATTTAAATAAAGCTGAATTTGTGAATACGTCAGGAATCTCTTTTGAATACAAAATAGCCAATAATCGTTAATGAAAATTTTCAAATGTAGTCAAGTACGAATATATCTTTGTAACATACAAATGAAAAGACATAAATTTATATTTATCATTATTTAATAAATTTGTTTTACAATGTTTTTTTAAGCAGCACACAGAGTTTTAGTTAGCTCATAAAGCTTTATAATCGATATATTTAATATATCGGAGTTAATTCAGTAGAATCTAGCAACGTACATGGCATACACAGATAAAACTAGAAATGTATTTGAAGGAGTCTTTATTACAAACTTAGGTTTATAATTATCTTTGCAACCATGGTGTAAACCTTTGATATCTGACCCAACTGAATCAATAGTTTGAAATAACTTTTGATTCAGTTGGGTTGCAAAGAGATTAGAAAATCAGAGTTTTTGGCAATGACACAATTTTTTTGTTCTTAAAATGGGTCTGGTTTGTGAAATGGGTCTGTTTACACTGCACAATTGCTGTGTTTCATGGTTATTGAACTTTTTAAAGTTAAATCTTGATTTTCAAAGTCGTCCTACTATTCCAGAGTTTTATGGTTATCACTGTATGTAAGGATTAAACAAGTTTAAATCAAATGTTTAGTTCCTTTAACTTCACATACAGGGTTAACCACTAAGAATGAGACTGTAAAGATGACATTAAACTCCATAAATTGGACGATCTCTAATTTTTAATTAGTCGTCCGCCTTGAATTTAAGTTTTATATGGTTTGTCTAATGATTTGGAAAATTAAAAAAAAAGTTTATAGTTGTATGGAGTTATGAGTATATATTGAACAGACAAATTTTCGTACAATCGTCTTTAAAGTCTCATCCTTTGTGGGTAACTCTGTACTAAAGAATGGTAAACTGTGGTCAAAGTTATCGTGTAAGAATATAAAAACTTAATCCCTGCACATATTGTTCTATCTGTGTAGTCTGTTACATATTGTTTTAGCGAAGAATTATCAGAGTTTAGAACTGATTAGTTGGCAATAGCCAGGTCCAGAAAATGAAGAAATCCTAGAAATTAGAAAAAAGTTAATTAATTGAGTTAAAAGGATGTATAACATGATGTTAGATGGACAATTAAAGGGACTGTAAAGGAAAAATGAAAGGGGGTATAGGCTGAAAGTTATTCACTTTAGCCTTTGATCGTGACCCATGAAAGTTAAATCTGATGTTCCTGTCTCGATAAATTGGTATAAAACTGTGTTAAAATTATACGAAAGTTCATATATGTAAAATTTAGAAAATCTTAAACTTAAATCACGTGACCAGAACTATCACCAATGGCAGAGCAATATACTGGTCAAATGTCTCCGCCTGTATCACGAGACCACTTTACTGCACTGCCATGGTGGAATTTCTGGTCAAGCAATACGGACGTATTAATGATATTATGAATTAAATCTATAAGAAATAGAAATAACAAATATAAAATTAGAATTGGAGTAAACCTAAGTTACAATTAGCTTTCTCTGGGATATCATCGTGTTCAGATTGGTTGCATATTTGCTAAATTTGACCTTTTTAAACCCACTACTTTTATACAAAATTGTATATTTATTAATTTTCGTATAAATTTGACAAAGTTGTAAATCAGTTTCTCGTAATAGGAACATCAGATATAATTTTCATGGGTCGCGATCGAGAGCTAAAGTGATTAGCTTTCAGCCTATACCCCCTTTCATTTTTCCTTTACAGTCCCTTTAAGTTGCAATCTGAAGTCTGTTGATAAAACAGAAAAGCTATAAAAAATATACGTGTTCTAAAAGTGAGGATTAAAACTCCTTCAGTAAATCTTGAAGTTGAGATTGAAAACTATTGAACTAATTAATTCAGCCCCATTTACATAATGAAGTTAATTAATGTTAATTACCTTGACGACTACTTCTTCTTCTACTACTAGCTCGTCTCTCAACCTTCTTTCCTGAATATTTTTGGATTAGAAAATAATTGGGTCCGTCCTAGTATACAATTTTTAGACCCCTCCCACCTTATCATTTTATACATGA